CCCACCATCCCTCCTCCCTTAATCTCTCCTCAGTACCACTCTCCTCCTCTCCTTCTCCTTCCTCTCCTCCCCTTCCTCCGTCAATGTCTGTAGGTATCATATCTCCGCCCGTCTGTATAAACCAATCTCTTTCAATGAAATATAATCTACAAGCACCTCCTCTCCTCCCTATCCACATCTTCTGTACATCTCCTCTGCCCCCCCCTCGCTTCCTCACTGTACAACACATATCCCGCTCCCACACGCTGACATCTTCACTGCCGGTACTTTCCCGACTGGCTCAGCGATCGGCTGCAGCTGCCGTTCAGTCCTCTCCACCTGCACGACCGACTGTCAGAGGTTTACAGCAAGCGCTCCCTTCCGTCATCCTCTCCGTCACTCCCTCCCCACTTCTCCCTCCTTTCCTCCCACTTTCGTCTCCTCCCTCTAACCCTCCTTCCCTCCCCCTCTCCCCCATCCTCTTCCTTCTCCCCTCCCTGCTCACCGATACCGGCGAGTCCGGTATATCAAAGTCACTGCAGAGCTTCTCTCGCGCAGGCCCCTTGCTGTTCCTGTTCCTCCCTCAGCCGACCGCACTCTCCTCCCTCTCCTCCCTCACCAGTTCCCTGCCACCGCGAACTCGTAGTCTGCCTCCCCATCCGAGTCGTTCTCTCCGAAACCTGACGAATCCTGTTCGGGAACAAATCGTCACCTCCGATCCTCTCTCCTCCCCTTCCCTCCCTTCGCTCTCCCTGTATATTTTTCTCCTCTCTCTTCCCTCCCTCTCCGCATCGCCCTCCCTCCCTCCCTCCCTCCCTCCCTTCCTCCCTCCTTCCTCTTCCTTTCCCTATCCCCAGTTTTCCTCCCTCCATTTCTCTCTTCCCCTCCCCTCCCAGCATCCTCCTCCTCGCACGTCTGCTCTCAGCCCTCATCCACATCCTAGTTCCTCACCCGATGGGGGGACACGAGGTCCGAGAAGGAGAGCGAGTCGTTGGACCCGAGCGCTCGTGCTGTCCGGGCGCCTGAGAACGCGGCCCGAACTTTGTCCGGCGAGTAGATGTTGTGGAACGAGATCCTTGGCTTCGGCGACCCCAGCGATCGGCCGTTGCCATTGGAGAACCTCCGCTCGAACTTGAACGTGTCCACCTCCTCTAGTTCGCTGTCTTCATGCACAATCTCCAGCCTCGGCGCGTTCGGCCGCCATGGCCTCTTTGACAGCCGGTAGATCCGGAGCACGCAAATGACCACCAGCGTGTAGATTCTCCACACCTTTCTCCAGTCCTCCTTCCCTCCATCCCGTCTCAGCAGCGATCGCCCCGCCTCTGTTTGCCTTCCCCACTTTTTCTCCAGAGCGTCCAGCGCCTCGTAGATAGCATACCTGCCCTGCGCGCTGCTCGGCAGCACGTCCAACTTCCTGAGCGTCTCCTCCCGCAGCCTCCTGATCGCGATCTGAGCGAGGTGCTGCTCTAGCTTCGGGTAAGTCTTGAGCAACTCTTGGAAGTCGTCGGCTCTCAGCTTGAACAGCGTCGTCGGGAACGGTAGACCCGCGTCACTCTTGGGCACGTACGCGTCAATGGACAGTTGTCTCCCAACCAGCACAGCTGCCTCCCCGAAGTACCCTCCTGTCGTCAGCTTGTCGATTACGATCCCATCAACGATCAGCTCCAACTTCCCAGTCTCGATGAAGCACATGCTCAGATTCTGGTCTTGGTGGAGCTGCCAGTACTGCCCGGGCTCCATTACCACCCTCATCAGCTTGTTGGTGATCTCCCGCAGGCACGAAGGATCCACGTTGGCGAACACGGGTATCTTCCGCAGCAGCAAGAACGCTGTGTGATTTGAATGCACCTCTTGACTTCCCCCCTCTACTTGCCCGTCACTCTTGATCCAGGAATGCTCCAGAACTTGTGCGGCTGACAGCCGCTGGGCTGCATCCAGGCTGAGCATCTTGCAGATCAGGTCCTTGCATGTAGCCGAGATCTTCTCCCAGAACCTGCCAACGAGCATCAGGAAGGAGACAAAGGAGCTAGCTTCTCTCACTCGGGTTTGAACTCCAAGTCCGTCGACCTCATTCTCCTCAGCGTTGTCTCCGCGTTCTCCACCCAAGGGTGCGGCAGGTACCCACAGAGCAAAACATAGAGGATGACCCCGAGCGACTGTCAGACTCATCAAGAAACGAGGAGAGCCAAGAGAAACATCACTGCCTCTTACCCAGACATCCACTTTGCTGTCGTACGAACGATGCTTGTCTAAAACCTCCGGGGCCATGTACCCAGGCGTCCCACAGAAAGACGTCATCTTTTCCATTGGAGACGAGCACATCTTTGCAAGCCCAAAGTCGCAGAGCTTGATGGTCGAGTACTCAGGACTAGCAGGATCGTCGGAGGCGTACATGAGATTCTCAGGCTTCAGGTCACGATGGGTGATCAGGATGCTGTGGAGGGTGCGGAGGGCCCCAGCAACGTCCTTGGTGAGCTTTGCCGCTTCTCTTTCAGAGAAGAGCAGCTTTGTCTTGAGGATTCGGTCCATCAGGTTGCTGCCGCGGATCAGTTCAAGGATCAGGAAAGTCCTTTCCAGCTCGTCATACACCCCATACAGCCGCATTACGTTCGGGTGGTCCGCAGCTTTCAATATCCGGATCTCGACCTCCAGAGAATGCTTGTCAAAGTTCTTCATGTTCTTGGCAATCATCTTGATAGCAAAGAGCTTCTTGCTATTTCGAGCCTTTGCAATACGGACAACTCCAAAACTGCCTTTGCCCAACTCCTTCCCGATCTTGTACGATTTTAACACCTTGTCTTGCCCTCGATACACTGAACCAACTGCAAGAAGTCATCAGCAGGGCTGAGCTAGAGGCATCCATCAACCTGTCTCTTGGTCCAGGTATCTTTCGTCGTCGCCGCCATCATCCGGCATGATCAGCTAGGGTGGCCTTGACAAGAGCGTGCTAACACTTGCAGTTCCTTGAAACGAGTTCAAGGATCGTCAAACAATTTGGTAGAGTCGGATTGTCGAAGAGCTGACATGCGACAGGATGGAAAGCATCTGATTTCAATCTGCAAACCGATAGGGATCAGTTGCTCCATAACATATCGAGAAAGGGAACACACACACATGTAGTCTCTCCAAACAGCTCACATCGGTCATTAGTCAAAAACGACCTGCATCTCTTTGGTCTCTCATTCTCTCATTCTCGACTGTCACGTCCTCTAGCTGCCCGCTGCTCAAACTTATCCTCTCCTCTCGATATTCCTCGCCCCAACTAAGTGCTGCCTTTGTCGACATTCAGCACTGCAGCCCTCTTACCACTATCATATCATCCTTCAATTTCTCCTTTACAACTAATTCCATTTTCCCCTCCACTGTCCACTCTCATTCCCTGTCCCCGTCTGCGTACCTCCTTCCTCCTCCGCTCTCGTCCCCACCTTTTGTCCCTCCTCCTTTCTCCCTCTCGTGGTATCCTAATCTCCTCTCTTTTTCACCCTTGTCCTTCTCTGACCCCTTCCTCCCTTCATTCCTTTCTCATCAGCCCTCCCTTCCTTCTTCCCTTTCTCCCCCTCCCCGTCAGCATTTCTTCCCCATCGCCGGGTCAAAACGCATGAAAACCGATTCAACCTGCACCCACCCCCTCATTTCCCATCCACCACCCACCTCTGCAAGGACTCCCCAGCCCTCCTCTCTCCCGGCCACACTGACTACCCACCCTTTTGCTTTTCACTTCATATGAACACAAAGGGTGGGGTGGGGGTATCCTCGAAAGGGGTTCCAAAGCAGGATATGCATTGGTACCTTGGGGGTGGTGTACATAAAAATTTGTACCCTACCGTTCCCAACACAGACCCCAAACATGACTATCAAGTACCCCTTCTTTCTACACTATCGGACAAGTCCGTTGATACCCCCACCCCTCATATCTCCTGTCTTCGCCAACGGACCCCACGCAACTGAGCTCCGCAAGTCCGCCTCGGGTCACTAATCCTGTTTGACCCCCACCCCCTCAAATACGACCACTTAGCCTGGGTTCTAGAATCACCCCTACCCCTCTTTCACATATAAAGTACCCCCTGATTTGGGGGTACCCTCTCATCGCCCCCATCACCCCCCATTAATAGGCGTACAGCCATCTCGGTACCTTTTACAGACCATGGCCTGTACCTTTTTGGGCAGGAACCCCCACCCCCTCTATGAGCTCTTCCAGTACCCCTACTCCCCTATTGATCACTTCATGATCACCCCTCCTTCCCAGCAGAAGAGTACCCCTACTGTAAGTATCTTTACTCGGCTTCTTGACAACGTTGGGCAAGGACGAAAAGACTGCAAGACGTGTAGGCGTGTGAGGCAGCATCAAGACGTGTAGGCGAGTAGGGAGAAGAGCGCATGCTGTGATCATTCCAGTGATCGCCATGGACTCCTGCCCATACATTCTATCAAGCATTGATGTTAGATTCTGTCAACTCCTCAACAACAGGATGCCTGGCACAAGATGCTAGAAGACAACCAGTCGCCTGTCTCTCCGCAGGAATATCAAGAGGTGGCAACTATGTTGGAACTTTCATCTCCTTTCTTCTCGTTTGTCCTCAAGCGCTTGGTCAGTAAAAGGATGTTTGCAAGAGAAGTTCTAGTGTGAGAAACAAGTCCACCGGAGGTTTTGATATGAAGACTTACTTGTTAGCCGCACAGGTTTTATCGTACACTACAGGTTTCGCTCGGAACAACCTTGAAACACACGTAGGCGTTCAAAGAAGCATCGCACAGTGAAGGGAACATGCCACCCCTTGCCGTCATGCCGCAAACTTGAGCTGTTGAGAAAGAGCCCGAGCACTCCAGAAAGTCGCAGACCCCCGACAACCTCACTGAGCTTGCTGACTGCCCATCCACCCAGCTGGAGTTGAGCAGTTCCCAGGAGGTGTCTGACGTGTATCGAAGCTCGCCAGACCAGCCGAGCCAGGCGGGAGTGAGGATGAGGCTGTTGATTAGATCCTGATCGTGAGCCACTTTGACCATTCCCAGCTCCCCCCCATGGCGCCAGCAGCTTTCGTTCGCCTCCTTCCACGTCACTCCCGAGGAATTCTCGAATACCCTGAAGCACGTGCCGTTGTACATCTTACCTTGTCCCTGCCAGCAACTTGCTATCGGCAGGCAAGTCGAAGTCTCAGTCTGACTCGCGTTGTCCTGCCTAGAGCAATTCGCCGCTGCTTCTGTGCGATTGCATCTGAGACAGGTGTTGGGCTCCCCTGCCTTCCCGATCGTTCCAAGAGGGCATGCCGCGCATGCGACGCCGACGTTTGTGAACACTGAGAGCCTGAGGAACCTGACGGTGTTGTCTAGGTTGCTGCAAGAGCGATCAGTCAAATGATCGCCTCGCGTTCCGACCATCCAGCCATTCTCACTCACCTTCTCCCGCTGTAAACACGGACGTATCTCGCTGCTAGGTTGTATCCTTGGACTGTTCTCCCCGAGGATGTCTCTATCCCACAATCTTTCCAAAGGTTGCAGGAAAACAGGGTGATCTGCCCATAAGGTTGCGAGTGTCAGCGAACACAAAGTTGAGCTTGCAACATTTGCAGGATTGCCTGTTCCAGGTTGAACTCTCCCGTTGAAGATATCTCAAACGAAAGGTTGCTGTAAGCTCGTTCTTGTGGCCAGTACATGTATAGCTTGATGTTTCCGATTGGAAAAATCCTCCCAAGATCAACTTGAACAAACACCGATTCTCCTGGGTCCAGTTTCAGTAGGACGGAGAGCGCATGTTGTGATATCCGATATCATGTACCATCTTGCAGGATAGCATGCGGCCTGTCCAGCCATGCATCGGGATCGGCAGCTGCATAGCCCAACCTCGCGTACTGGATGGCTGTGGCTGGGAGGCTGAGGGAGGACACACTGAGACAAGGGAGGAGGAGCGAGCCAGCGCAGTACCTCCCGTTGAAGAAGACTCCTTGGTTCCGGGACCCCGTGACCTCCTCGGGAGCTCCGGCATTCCCTGAGCCTGAGAAGCCACTGGAGGAGGGTCAGACGATGGCACAGCCTTGTAACGCATGCAACACCTCTTGCACTCGCACGTGTAACCGTTGATCTGGTCTCTGCAGAGCGCGTTCTTGTCGCAGGTGCTCCCCTGCACGAGCTGAGAGTCAGCTGGAGATCCTCTCCAGCCTCCTCCAAACTTTCCATGCCACATCGCTCGGCGTTGAGAAATTGGAAGGCGCAGAGGGTCCGGCTGGTCTCGTTGCACTCCTGCACCACCCACTCGCCCGTCGCGTGCAGTACCGTGCAACTTCCGTTGTGAATGGGCTGGTGCAACAAGTTCAAGGATGGCAAGTCATCGCAAGGTCGACAAGACCTCTCCTCCTGCCCATGCTGTATAGGTCGAGGAGAGGACCTGGTGACGATCAGTCGTGAGACTTTCTCAACACGAAGCAAACCTGAATCTGAGGAGTTAGAGAAGATTGAGTCCAGTCGAAGGCAGCTCCTTCCTTCACATAACCTATCCACGCACTCTGTCCAAATGGTAGCAAACTGGAAGCAGCAGAATTCTGAAATCCAGGGTGATGTCGAGAAGAGGGAGGGAGGAGATACCTGTGTTGCTGAGAGAATAGAAGCCACGTTCGCCCCCTCTGCAGCGCAGACACTTGAAGCTGTGACGATTCGTTATAGAGCTTCTGGTTGACTCTACCGCACCTGAACCGTATTGGATCGACTCTGACGCTAGGAAGAAGCAGATCCCGCTGGACCAGATGCTAGACGCCCCATGGCAGTTGAGCTAGACAGAAGATGAGTTGGCCGAAGCAACAGGAGCAAGCAAAGTTCACACATTCTGAGTCTCATGGATGGAGCAAAACTCTCCATTTCCAAAGGACAAACTTTGATTGCAAGTGCAAGAGACTTGTATCGGGACCGAGGCAAGGTTGCTGTCGCAGATTCCGATGGGAGAGCAATATCCCGGAATCTGGCAGGGATCATGCTGCTGTACGAAGTACAATGACGACGTGTGGTAGCTGACGTAATAGCAATACATGGAACCTTCCCCGCCGCTATTTCCAACACAAGTGTTAGAAGGTTTCAATGAAGACACTGTGAATATGAAATCTCTCTGGGTGTAGCATTGCCCTGCATACTGACAACAGCAATGTTTAGATCAATACCAAGAGTCAATCAAAGGATACCTGTCGACAGAAACCAGCATATCCCAGCAGTGAAGCGATGCGAGCGCAATTGGCAGGAGAGGTGCTTATGAAAGGGCTCGCAGGCATGTTGAGCGTGAAGGGAGAGTTTGGATCAACAAGGCAGCCGATGGCTTGAGCCACAGGTTGTCCATACACATTATAGTTCCAAAACATTTCATCAGCCCACTGAATATTTTGATATAGCTGACCAGCCCTCAAGGCCCCCTGCGTGTTCAACCACTCGATGGGCGACAAGAGGCCTGGGCTATTGAAGCTGCATCGATCTTGAGACGTCGAGGTTCCTCCCACGCAGGAGTAGAAGTCCTCTACTGCGCACTGAGCAGAACATCCGTCGCCGTCTACAGTGTTCCCGTCATCACATTCCTCGTTCACGTGTCGGTAGCCGTCACCGCAAGGGTGAAGCTCGTCCGGGAGACACGCTCCTGCTGCTGGTGACGACTTGTAACATCGCGAGATCCGCACGGTGGTCAGAGCCTTGCTTGACGGGATCAAGATGTTCTGGTTGGAGAGTGGCTCCACGCCCGAGCAGCTGGCAGGCTTCGTCAAGTTGCCTGTCGGCAAGCTGCATGTGCAGCTGTTCAAGCAGCGACTGGGCTCGACATCGAATTGAGAATATTCCGCCAAAGTCCAAGTGTCTTTGCAAACGAGGGATGCGTCGCACTCGCTCGCAAAGGAACATGCAGACCCGCAGGCCGACCCAACGCTGGGAGCGATGACGAGAGAGAAGTAGACCGGGTAGGGGAGTCGACCTGTCAGACGCACACTGACAAAAGCGTACCGAATCCCCTGCACGTTGGCCGGCCAGGAGATCTGCCCGCTGCTGGGGAGGTAATCCCTGCCAGGCTTGGCGTTTCCTTTGAAACATCTCCAGTGTATCGTCAGAGGATTGCAAAACGAGCTGTCGGGGCAGACACGGTGAATTGGAATGGCTAAGATGTATCTTGGAATGAGGGTTAAGGGAGGTTCGACATTCACTTCCTTCCATGCACACGACACAATGCTTCCTGCGATCGAAGGTGACAAGGGACTGAGGTTTATCCAAGAACAGTTCCCATACCCAGTTTTTAGAGCAATGGAACGACTGAAACCTTGCTTTAAAGGCACCGACTGCTCATATACCGGTCCTTGACCATAATCTTGTTCAGGACAATAGACTGAAAGCCCTTTTGATTGTCTTGTTTCCAATTTATGACAGTCATCCAAAGTTATCATTGTTCCTTGAAGGTTCACCCGGCCTGACCACCAACCCCAGATTCTTGCGACGTTCTCAAAAGCAGCATATGATTCACAAACATATGAAGTTGCTCCTGTCAAGCTAACGTTCACGAACTGCTTGCATTTTCCAGTCGAGTTCAAGGCAGGGGCTGTTTGGCTACAGTTTGTATAATTTGAAGAATTGCTACAGAGAGAAAAGTTCGCAAGAGAAGAAGCACCAGAAGTATTGCTTTCATATTCGAGGCAAATGACATTCGTTTGACAATTTGTCATCTGGATCAACGTCTGAATGTTGTACTTGCTTCTTAATCTTTCGTTTTCGAGAGAACAATTTGCGAAATGCACTTTCTGCTGTATTCTTGATAGAGCATCTGAAACATTACCAGATATGCAAGAACCAGACAAATCCAGAAGCAGATCAACAGGCGCTGTGGGGATAGAAACATCAGCAGAAACCTGACAAAGGCAACTTAGCTGAGCACAGAAAGGTGGAGGAGGTATGCGCTATGGTGATCAGATTTGTCTTACTTGTTCATCACCCCAGAGGTAAGCAAAGGAAGCTGGAAGTTCTCCTGACAAGGGATTACCTGAAAAATCAATCTGTTTGAAGCTGTTGTGAGAATAAAAATTACTCAAGGTTGACGATGTGGCAGCAATGCAATTACTTGTTTTGCTCATCAAGAGAGGGAATTGGCCCAACTAAGAGGTTGTTCTGCCCATAGAGAAAACTGGCGAAAATCGTCAGGAGCAGGATTCTGTTTGATTATTCTTCCTTAGCGACGAGCTCTTGAGAAGAATCGAAGGAATATTTCCTTGAACCATGTCAGGCAAGTGTATTCGCGGCAAGGTGAAGGTACGGGTTACCATACACAAGATTGTCTGCAAAGTCCAGGTATCGCAGAGAGTTCGGCAAAAAAGCCCAGAGCCCTGGAACAATGCTCTGAATGAAATTCCGGCTCACAATGATCTTCGTTGGATTTTGATTCAATGTGGAGGGTAGGTTTGACAGGGATAAAGTTCCAGATAGGAGATTAGATCGCAGGTTAATCTGAGACAAACTATCACCTTGGTTCAAAGGTATCGCTACTTCACCTCTTCGAGAAATTGGCAGCTGGAGAAGTCTGGGATAGAGCCTTGCAATCGGTTGTCGTTCAGTATCAACTTCACCAGTGAGGGCATACAGGTCAGCTCTACGGGAATAAACCCTGTTATCTTGTTGAACGACATGTCGAGCACTTGCAAGAAGGGGAACGACAACCCTAGATCGTGTGGGATGACGCCTTGAAGGTTGTTGCCACTGAGCTGAATCCCGACGATGGCGACATGTGATCCCGTACCATCAGAAGATTCTCGACATGTGATCCCGTACCATGAGCAGACAGAGAGAGAGCTCTTCCAGTTGTCATTGCGAAGCCAGAGGTCCCCATTCAAGCTGTCGTACATCTCGTTCAGCTTGCTGGCGGCGGCCGAATATGGATGGTACTGGAGGTATGGAGGCCACTGGCAATCTTGCAGTGCATTGTAATCCTCGTACAATCTTGAATCAGAGAAGCACAAGGGGCAGGTCACGTAGTACTGATAACCATCAAATTTGGCTGATGAGAAGGGGGCTGTACCTGGATCGAAAGGACAATAGCAATATGGAGAATATGAAGATTGAATAAAAGGATAAGCATTCCAGCCATTTGCAATACATATCGCTGAACTGGTAGAAGTCGACAATGGGCACGAAAACGTCACATGAGGTTGCACGAAGAATCCCAGAAGCAACCAGATTGCGCCCAAACAAGCGTTGGGTGGCACTAGCAGAAGCTGCTGGGGTTGATACATAATGAAAGCTTCAACCCAAGGTCAAAGGTATCATCACACTTATCAAAGCTCTGAACTCAAACCTTTGTGACACAGACTCGAGCCACTTTAGACAACTAACCCTGGCTCAGCTGTGATTCTCTACAGCAGAACTCCTTCACGCAGTCTGCCTTCGGCGGATTGTCGAGGCTGGCCTCATCATAGCACCGGTGACTACAGCAGCAGTCAGCAAGTTGTGTTCCCGGAACAAGAGCACAAGGAGCATGAGAGTCAGGCTTCGCTCTCGCCTCTCAACTTCTCTATCCTCATCCAGCCACAAACACTACTGCAACCCCGGGTTTAGTTCTGCTTGGAGTAGGTCCAGGCCTCAAAGTTAAGGGGCCCCGCCGGCCCGGGGCCCTGACTCGTTCGACTCGGGCTGATGCCTACGGTAGTACGGTCCGACGGTTACCGTGGCACGGCCGGGCGTGACTCACTGGCTTAGTAGCACTGCGCGGCACCGTTACTTGGCTCAGTGTCGGAGACACGGTGGCCCGGTGGCGGCTGCCGCAGTGCCGCCGGGCGGAAGAGACGGGGTGACCCCGGCCGTGGCGGTCAGCGACAGCCAGACGCGGCCGCCCGATCGGATCCGGCGGGACCGGCGTCGTCATGGCCCTTATCGGGCGGCGGGTCCGGGCCGCTGGGCCGCAGTTGAGGCAGGGCCCGGCCGGCCGGGCGCGAGCCTCGGAGTCACTGAGTCCTCTCCTCAGTGTTGCGTTTGAAGTTTATCAATGTTAGTAAAATGTTGAGAGAAAATTTGAAATATTGAGACGATGTGATGTAGATTGTGTCGAAGGCGGACGACGGCACGATTCAAATTTCGAAATTTTACAAGAGGGTGTCGAAATTGCGAAAAGACAATGTTTGAGAGTTGAAAGGATGACCTTTCGTCCATTGAAATTATTATGGAAAATTTGGAAATAAAACTGATTCATTTCAAGTTTGATGCACGTGTCCTCGCAACGTTTCACTCGTCTTGGTTTAACACCATGCTCTGGACCGGTGGTCCTCAAGTAGTTGAGGTTAGGAGTGGGTACTTGAGACCAGGTTTTACTAGCAGGTTGGGGGTGGGGGTTCCTCTTACATGGGTAACCCACTCGGGGTATATTAATTTTTGTCTGCTTGGAAAACAGCTCCTTTCTGGCCCCGTGAAGCAAGGGTGGGTACAAAGACCCACCCCGCCAAAGATCAATTTTCTATAGGTACCCCTGAATTTCCCCTAGTTTGGAAGGGTCTATTTTGTTGTACCACCCCATTTTTGACTACAATCCACTCCAAACCCCTGTCCAGTTTCAAACGGGATAAAACTTTTAGTTTTAAACCATCAGTGGTACAGACTTTTAAGGAACAGGGTAGCGATTGTGGGTGCTAATTTGTACCAAGTTTCATCCCATAGAATCAAAACTTTAATTCATTAGTTGACCATTTACAAGCTGATACGTCTTTTGGTACAAAGAAACGGGAAATATGGTACTATCTATATTACTCTCAATTGTACCTTCAATGGTCAAATTAGTATCATTAAATGAAAATGATTTAATTTGTACCTGACTTGGTACAATCGTTACAAATTGCTGGTACCAAAATTCAAACGATGTGTTCTTCTTAAAAACTACCCTACCTGCTCAAGTAATTTTCGTCCTCATCGCTGGCGTCGTACCCACCGTCTATGACATTAGTACATTTACTACGGGTGGTGAGAACAAGAAGTGCTTGCTCTAAAGGGGTGGTGCTAGATACCCCAGAATTATCCTTGAGAACAATATATACATAGGGGTACATACAGAATCAATACGTCGAATGGTCAAAAAATACCGGTGTTGATCAGATCCCTTCAGGATGATGAGGTGGGTGGATTCAAATGTGGGGTGAGGGTCATGAGGGTGAGGTGTAAGGGTGGGGTATGAGAGGAAAGCAAAAAGAGGCGGTCTCGAGAAGACAAGAGTTGGCGTGTAAAAACATTATATCCACCAGCGGGGACACGCCAACTACGGATGCGCTCCAGGTGGCCTGGGCGAAACCAGCAAGTTTGGATGAGAGCGGCATGGTGGGCGACTTGATGGGTCGCATGCGTGCTTGACTCTGACCGACAGTCTTGTGGGATGCTCAGGGCAGGAGAAGGGGGATCTGGAAAAGAGAAGTTACAAGGCAATTGTTTGCATCATTGTTGGGTAGGATCTGTTGTGGTGTTCCATAGCATGAAAGCAGTAATAGTAAGGTTAGAATTTGAATCTTCGTTGTCAGGGATTTTGGGATGTGCATGGGTTTCCATGGGAGATCTTCTTTTTTGCATAGTCCAGCAGAAGTGAGAATAATCGTGGTGGCTTTCTTGGCTTCGAGTGTGGTTATGAGTCGCATTCGATGGGGATCCTTTCCCCACTTTACATCAAAATTTGAATTTCTCGATGTACTCGCATCTCTGCCCCTGACTGATCGCGCTTTCTGATTGGTCTAACTTGTGTTTTAGATACGCGTGATCGTGTCTGGTTCACAAACGTTAAGTGAAAGTAAGCGACAAAGGGCTGAGACTGGCCATTTCTGAGAAGCCTTCACATTCGCCATAATTGAATTCGGCGAGTGTAGATGGCAAATAACATCAACATGGCAAACATGGAAGCAGAGCTTCGCTCTGTATTACAGGCTGTGCTAATGGGTGTGTGCCAGCGATGCGATTTTGTGCATGGAGAGGCTTTACGCCCATCAGGGAATGCTTGCTTGGTGCAGGTATTGTATGCGGGCTGGTCTTTCACGGTTCTTACACGAAGTTTACAAACAGAGTGGTGCAAGCTTTTGCTCTACCACGGGAGCTGCAGATTTCCATAGGGCAAGTTTGAATTTTTACTTTCCTCCGAACGTGAGCGTGGCGGGACGTGTGTGGAAGTCAGGATGTACAGAGGTAGACACGCATTTGCGCTGAGGACATGGACTTAGTTCCTTGCAGTGGCATGAGGACGTTTCAGTTCTTCCTACCACGGCCTTTCTTCGTGCAGAGCTGGCGCTCCAGACAGAGTTGAAGGCAGCCTTTGCCGTACCCCTTTGCAAGGACTCAAGAGGTGATTTTGTTCGAAAGTTTCCGAAGCATTTTATGACCGATTTCCTCCCCACAGTGTTGGCTGTATGTATCTTCTACTCGCGTTATGCCTTGCCTGCGAACCCTCAAATGGAGCAAACTTGTATTGCCATAGCCAACGAGGTTCTCATCACCACTTTTGCCAGAAGGTATCGTGAAAATGTAAATGGTAATCAGAATGCTCATGTTTTTTCTGTAGTCATATGGATACTTCTTTGAGATTCGTTCCTGGAGACCCGAGCGTGATTGATGTGGCTCCCTCCAAGACGGGAGCCAGCAAAGCTTGGCAGCGTTGCCAGGTTCGTGCAGATTCGCTTTGTTTTGTAGAATGAGCTAAGACTTCTTTAGGCTGCTCTTGAATCTCTCCCAAATGATAGGAGCGAAGATCAGATGGAGCAAATTACGAAATTCAGCAAGGGAATTCATTTCTTCAAATACATTACCAATGCTCAGCGTCTTGACCTTTGCAAGACAATGCAACATACTCAGTTCAAGAAGAATCAAATTGTTATGCAAGGATCAGATCACAGCTATCCGAGCAATATTTGGTATGTTGTAATCCACGGCAGAGTGGACATGTGCGTGAAGACCCATGCAGAAGGAAGTACTTATCGCATGTGCTCGTTCAAGGAAGGAGATACATTCGCTGCATCCTACATGAAAATGTTCCAGACTTCACCGAGCATCACAGCACATATCGAATCAGCTACTGATACAAGCTGTATCATGATCACAATCCCGGAGCAATACAAGAATGATTTTCGAACTTACACTCGGCCACTGTGGTATGAAGAGCTGGCTCAGTACTTTCACATCTCGATCAACGAGGCAGCTGAGGCATTAGGAATGTGTATGTCCGCGATCAAGAAGATTTGCAGAAGGCATGGCATCAGTCGATGGCCTCATCGTAAGTTGGCGAGCGTAAACAAAACTGTTGCTATGTTGCAGAGCAAGATCAATACCGCTGAGGACGATGCTTCCCGTGCTGCTCTTCGCTCCGAGGCTGTCAATGTGTTGACCATGAAGCTCCGATTGACGATCAATCCTTCCTACCTTGTCAGGGATGAATCTGTTCTGCTTCAGCCATCAATCAATCCTGGAGGGCCAGGAATGGCTCCAGCTGGAATGAATCAGATGGGTAATGCCCCTGGAGGACTTGAAATGCATGGTGGCATGGGAGGGGAACGTGCTCCAGCCCCACCGATTGGCGGTGGACCTCCTGGACCTCCACCTGGAGCTGGTGGAGGTTTTCCTGCAGGCGTTGATGCGATTTTGCGCCAACAGCAAGAGGCACAAAGATCTGCCCTCATGGCGCAAGCTGAAGCCCAAGCTGCTGCGAATGCGGCATCGGTGCTGCAAAAAGTTCAAAATATGGCACGTGCCAGAGGTGCCATGCCTGGCGGTGACATCGGCAATCCGATGGGAATGGGCCCTCCGCAAGGTTCCTACGGAGGACCACCAGGAGGCATGGCATTGCAGCACATGCAAGACGCGATGATGCAGCAGAGGATGATGATAACGGGTCAACAACCTGGCATGAATGTCGGCGGAGGCCTCGGCCGCGGTAAGTTGATTCTCTGATTATGTCTATCATAGTTCGTTGCCTCTGATAGTTTTCCTGCAGGTAAGGATGAAGACGGCGAGGCATTTGACCATGGCGACGATTTCGAGGATCGCCATGGTGCTGGTGGGCCAGATCATGCTGGCTCAGCCAGGATGATGCAGGTGCTGAGCTTTGCTCGAACCTTTTCTTGTTGTTGACGTTCCATCAGGATGCCCGCGGTGGCGGCGGAATGGGCGGCTGGGGCATGCAAGGCTATGCAGGGATGCCAGGGGGTGGCCCTGGAGGATTCCAACACATGGCTGGTTATCCCCAAGGTGAGAAGACCCTGCGCCTGATTGCGCTCGGTTGATGAAGCTGGAGCAGGAGGTGGGATGGGAGCTGGTCCGGCCTCCATGGGCTGGCAGGGGCAGCAGGGTGGTTTCGATCAGGGAGGCTTCGGACGCCAGCGCCCTCAGCAACCTGGTCAACCAGGTCAAGGAGCCCAGGGAGGAATGTCCCAGGTGATGATGTGGGAGGAGTGACCTGGAGGCTGCTGATTGTGGGGTAGGACATGATGCAGCAGCAAAGGCGAATGCAAGACCAGCTGCTCCAACAACAGCGCATGATGCAAGGGTTCGGGAACTACGGTAAGGGAGCTCTCCCCCTGCTGTAGAGTTAGCACGCTGACGCTGTTGCGCTTTCAGATCAACGCCTTCCTGGGGATCAGCTTGGCAAGAGGCATGCCATCGACTTCCTCGTGAGCGCAGGCGCGGGTGGCGGGCAACAGGGAGGCGCAGGAGGAGGAGGAGGAGGAGGAGGCGAGAACGATCCTGAGAAGAGGATGCGACATGGCCCCATGTAGGGGAGGAGGCGATTGACCAGCAGACCTTGAGTGCTGAAGAGGAGCAGCAAGTTCCTTGGCTTGTGATTGATGGCAGAGCCGATCTAAGTTTTAAACTTCTTTGAATATAAAACAACGTGGTTATTGTAGATGGCTGGTTGTATCATGAATGTTCTCCCCTGTCCTCAACTGCCTCCTTAACTTCCTTTCATTCCTCCCTCCCTCTCTCCCCCTCTCTTCCTGTCCTTCCTTCCTCCCTCTCTCTCCCTCTCCCTTCTTCCTTTCCTTCCTTCCTCCCTCTCCTCCCTATCTTCCTTTCCTCCCTCCCTCTCTCCTGTTGCTCTCGCCGCATCTTTTCTCTCCGCCTTCAAATTTCTTCCTCCACCAAGTGTGACCCGCCTAGATAAAATCTGCTGGCCAAGGGACGGGGAGGGCTGGGGAGGCTCTACCTTCCTGCCCCCATGCCCCGCCCGCTCCGCTGCGCGCGTCCACAGCCCTTGTGTGGTCTCCTCCTCTTCCTCCTCCTCCTATGAGGCCATC